GGGCGGGCGGTCCCCCCCCCCCCCCCCCCACACACACACACACACAAATGAGGAGGCTCCAGGCAGGGTCGTTACCAGACGTGTTTATGATCACGACAGCGACAGGCAGAGACAGACACGGCGAGGACACGCTACAGACACGCGGAAACCCCCCGGCCCAGCCTGGCCCTGGAGTCACTCCAGAGCAACACCGGGTCCACCCCACCGGCATCGCTCCTGATTTGCACCACTTTAGCCCCACAGAATCAAGGAGGGTCAGTCCAGATCGGCACTGATTTTACCCCATGGAAATCAGTCGCTACACCCCACCACTTGGGGGAGTCACTCCGGAGCGACTCCAGTTCTACCCCGATGGAGTCAGCAGGGATGCTCTTGAGTGGCACCAATTTGTGCCTCCCGATTCCACTAGTCACTCCTGATTTACACCCATTCTACCCCAAGATGCCAATGGAGTCGCTCCTGATTAACACCATTTCTGTCCACAGAGATCACTCCAGATCTGTACTGATTTTCCCTAGAGAACGAATGGGAGTGGATCGGGCTTGGCACCACTTTTACCCCACGGAAATCAGTGGAGTCACTCCTCATTTGCACCATTTTTACCCCAAAGAATCAATGGGGCAATATCAGATTGAGATTCGTTTTACCCCATGGAAATCAGAGTCACTCCCGATTTACCTCAATCTATATACCAGTATTGGGGGGGTCACTCCAGATTTAAGCCATTTCTACCCTATTGATGCCAAGGGAGCTGCTCCTGATTTACACCAGTTCTACCCTAATCATCACAGGAGTCACTCCTTATTGACACCACTTCTATCCAAAGTGTAACAGAATCACTCCTGATTTGCACTTTTACCCCAGAGAATCAATGGAGTTGCTCCTGATTGACATCAGTTTTACCCCACAGCCAAGAGTCACTCCTGATTTGCACCAATCTATACCCCAAGGTTTAACAGAGGCAATCCTGATTGATGCCCCCTGTTCTACCCCATTGGTGTCTATGGAGACACTCCTGATTTACACCGGTTCTATCCCTTGGGTGTCAGTGGGATCACTCATTTGCAGCCACGGATACCCTGATTTCTCTGGAGTCACTCATGATTGACACCAGTTTACCCCACTGACATCACAGGAGTCGCTCCTGATTGACACTTCTACCCCACTGGCTCCTGTCTTCCCCACTGGCGAGCTCAGGATTGGGCCCAGCCTTGCACGCCCCCACCCCAAACCCCTTCCTGGGGGGGGGCGGGGGGGGTCTGTGTGCATGGGGGGGTCCTCTGTATCACAGTGATCGTGGTCACCCCCCATTAAAAAAGGGGGTCCCACAAAGGGGGACCCCACTCTGAAGTAGCTGCCGTGGTCTGGGGGGGGGCTGAAACCCCCAGCTCTGGGGGGGCCGTGGCTGGCAGGGGGCTGAGACCCCCTGATCTGGGGCAGGTCAAGCGGGAGGGTGAGCCCCCCAGATTGGGGGGCAGAGACCCCCGGTATAGGGCAGGCTCCCTGGGGCACAGGCCAAGACCCCTAGCTCAGGGGGAGCTGAGACCCCTAATACAGGACAGGCTGAGTGTGCGGGGGCCAAGACCCCTAGATTCGGGGGGGGCAAGACCCCGATACAGGGCGGGAGGGGACGCGACATGAATGGGACCCACAAACAAGGTGAGGACGGAGGTGGCGCAGGTAGGGGGGTAGGGGGGCTGCCCCTGTGCCCCCCCCGCGCTGGTCTATTGGTGTGTGCGTGTGATTGTGTGCGGCTGTGGACAGCTGCCAGGGTGCTGGGCCCAGGGGGGGGGCCTGGCACCTGGGCGTGGGGGGGGCACGGCCCCCCCAGCTACGGATCGGGGGAGGTTTTTCCTCATGCTGTTTTGCTGGGGTGTCGTCAAGCACAACAGACTGGGGGGGAGAGGCAGGGGGGCTCCATCGCACACATGCGAGCCTCCACACTAGTGCGAAGGGCATGTGAGCCCCCCGGGAGTGTGCGTTTGGCCCCAAGGTCGGGGTGGGCGCTTTGCGAAAGCGAGTTCAAGATCCGATACACAAAGAAACTGGTCTGTACTGGGAAAGACTGGGGGTGAGGAGAGGAGCTCCACCCTGCTGGGGGTAAGAGGCTTACCCCGGTCTAATAGCACCCGCATCGCTGCTTATCCCGGGATATACCCACTCCCCGCCTCTGCCACCGGCACCCAATAAGAGCCGGTTAATGAGTTGGGGGGGGCCGTCTGTAAGCGTGAGCGAGCCACCATCTGTCCACACTTACCCCGGGATAAGGGTCTGGCAGGGGAGGGGGGTTAGTGTAGCTTCACTCCCCCCAGGGGGATTGCAGGAGAGTCTCCACCCCTAACGTGGGACCGCTCGTTCATATGCAAAGTGACTGGGCGGAGCTGAAGGCCCAGCATGTGACTCGTTTACACCAATGGAATTAACCCCGTACTGGCTGCGCAGGAAGCCCTGGAGGCGTGTTACCCTGGGATAAAGGTTGTTCTCCTGGGACGAAGGTCATTATTCCAGGATAAAGGTTATCCAGAGATAAAGGTCTTTACCCCAAGATAAAGGTTGTTACCCTGGGATAAAGGTCATTCTCTTGGGACGAAGGCCATTATCCCGGGATAAAGGCCGTGTGTCCGGGGTTATCCTCGGACAGCCCCCGTGCCTGATCCAAGCACTAGCTGCAGCCGCGACCCCAGGACAACTCCAGGCGCGGGGAGCAACCCCCACCTGTGCATCCGGGCTCCTCGTGCAAGCTGGAGCACGGCCCTCGTGCCCCCCCACCGGGGCCCAGAAACAAAGCGCTAAAACCCCCCAATTCAGGGACTGAGGGGGACGGGAATGTCTCTGTCCCCACCCCGGGCGCCGGGGCAGGAGGGATCCAGGCCTGGTCCGTCCACACCCCCCTCCCCCCCAAAAAATATTGGGATCCCTCTTGGGGGGGTCTATAGGGTTACTCAGGTGGGGGGGCCTACAGGGCTCCTGAAGCCCCAGCACGGGCTACCGAACCCCGGGGAGACCCCAGGCGGGGGGGCATCGTGGCCCCCTGGCAGGGAATGGGCGAGGCCCCAGTAAACAAGTCACCAACAGGCACCAGAAAGGGGTGGGGGGGCCGCGTGGCCCCCCCATACAGGCAAAGGGTCCCTGCTAGGCTGGGGGGAGGGGAGGGCAGGGGGCCAGTACGGGGGG